CCCCTCTTCAGCATTTCAGGAGTAAAACCCAGAAGAAACAGCTCTCTAAACACAATTACCATATCAAACCTCCCTCCGAAATGTGAAAAGGCGATTGTGTCGTAGTCTGTTGTTAATTCAATTATCCATTTGACAAATGAAATGATGGGATCCTCTGTAACTTTCTGTAGATCTACGGGAGTTTTGGAGAAGGGGCGCTCCGAGAAGGTTACAAGTCTGTTGCTCCCACAAACTTTGCACTGCTCCTGCTCCTCCTCAATGCATTTGGGGCATGTTACTCTCGCTGCTATGAAGTTTGCTTGATGTTTTCTTTTGTTGTTACCTGAGGAGACATGTTGCATGGTCTCCAGATCAAAAGCTACAAATCGGTAAGGCTTTTGCTCCTTGGGCTCCAAAGGCTTAATAAAACATCCGCGCTTAGGGTCATGGTATCCTGAGCAGGTTGAGCAATAGCGCTCATTGCATACATGCCCACTCCTTCCATTTTTACTATTTACTGCAGTGTCCCAAATCACTCCACATTTTTCGCACTTCTTGGAACGCCTGCAAACTTTCGAATTGTGGTGATCATTGAAGCAATCCTCGTTGTTAAAGCTTTTGGAGCACCCGGTACACTTTTTAAAAAAGTTGTTTCTAGGAGGGCACGGGTAAAGCGGACCAACACGTGAGCAATTTAAACAATGAGCACGACAGGATGCAGAATGACGGTGAGAACGTTCATACACAGTTTCACATTCCAAACAATAGGGTTGACCAAAGAGCCCTCCTGTACTCGTAACTCCATTGAAATGGGAGCCGTCGAAATATAGGAGCAATGGGGAATTATAATTGTCGGGGCCATATTTAAAACAAGGCTTATAATGCCCCAAACAATCAAAAATAAAAACTTTAAAACAAAACTGGCCTGAATACATTTCATTCCAGAAGTCGACAACAGGAGGAACCCACTCCTCAGCATCATATTCTTTTTGTCCAAAAGGAGCTCCAACATGTTCCATGAGCTCCATAGTTTCCTTCTCAAATCGTCCTCTTGACCCAAAACGACTATGAATGTAGTCGTAAAATTGAGAACGAGACATGTTGCCAGTGAGACGTACATGTGTTGCTAATAAAGAATAAAATAAGCAATAACCATCGTTGTTGTTGTTAATTTTGATTAAATTCTGCTCCTTGATACGGTGATGAATAGGAGCAAGTTTTCGAGGAGCTCCACCGATAAAGTTGTTTTGTTCGTTCAAATTCTTCTTATCTACAACCATAACATTAACTGAAAAGGGTTTTCCCCAAAGAGTAACTCCCGCCTGCTTCTTACTCTGAGAAACCTTATTAAATTGATTAAGCAGGACATTGAAGGTGTTTTGTGATGAGGGCCTAAGGGGTATCCATATATCAGAATCTAATAACTCACTTGTTACTGTGCAGCTCAGCTCCTCTGGTTCAAGTCCATTGTTCTTCGCGTTGTTCATAGCCTCGTTGAAGCAGTGTTCGAATATTCCAGATAATAAGGCCTCAGGGTCGGCCGGAATATTCTGAATAAGGAATTTCGAATAATTTTTGGTGATTTTGAATTTATCGATGAATTTTGTCGTATTTTCTAGTTGTTCAATATATTGTTGTAAATCAGTGCCTCCTCCTGATTGATTAATAGAGAGGAGGTTATCAATAAAGAACGCTCTTGCGCGTTTTGTTGGAGGAATATAGTCCATTATTGAAAAAAGAGCTCCTATATGAAAAGAGCTCCTATAAGAAAAGAGCAAAATTTTATGGGGAGCAAAGAGAGCTCCTATTGAAAATAAAGAAAAATGAGGAGCAAATTGAATTAATAATTAAAAATAGCAATTTAAATTATTTAGACTTTTTAAAAATGAAGCGAATGAGAAATAAATCTTGTTTTTATATGAAAGTTTTTGCCAAAACTTTTAGGATTAAATTATTGTGAAATACATATAGGCGGCATCATCAAAGAGGTTTCGATTGTGAAATCTAGGCAAAACAAAAGTTTTAATTTGCATAAATTTAAATGTCGGCAACATCAAAGAGAAAATAAAAATTTTAATTTTTAAAATATAGGCGGCATCTTCAAAGTGATTGTTTAATTTGCATAAATTTAAAATCTCGGCAACATCAAAGAGAAAATAAAAATTTTAATTTTTAAAATATAGGCGGCATCTTCAAAGTGGTTGTTTAATTTGCATAAATTTAAAATCTCGGCAACATCAAAGAGAAAATTTTAAAAAATTTTGAAATTTAATAAAGGATTAAGGTCAAATTTTAATTAGGTCAAGGTCAATTATATTTCTGAAAACTCTGTTTAAAAACAAATGTCAAATTTTGGGGAGGAAAGGAAACTAGGGATTGGGGATTGAAAATAAAGAATTTTAATTTTTATAAATTATCAGCTATCACTTTAATTAACGTAATCACTAACAAATCATCATTAAATATACAAAATATAATAATCACCGCGAACTGTATGGTAATCACTTTACGTAACATCTAGAGTAATCACTTGACTCAGTAACATCTAGGGTAATCAGGTGATAATTGGTACATGTTTACAAAGGTGTAATCTAGTAACGTACATGGATCATCACCCTCAACAGTGAAGGATTGAAATTACTCATTCTCCACCGATTAATCACTCACCCGTTTGGTTTAACATAATTTTATTGCCACCCGGATGTTTTACAAATTACACACTCTCAATGATTTTTCTCACTCCTCGTTTTGGGTGAACACTTCTCTCTATTTTACCAATCCTCCCTCGCGACAGTGCCTACTCCCTTTGATCTTTGCCGACCCCTCTCCCATTTGTCGGACCCCTCCTCCCCCACGACAGTGTCCACTCCTCTTTGATCTTTGCCGCGACATGCCCTCTCCCTTTTGGTTTTGTCGGACCCCTCCTCCCCCACGACAGTGTCCACTCCTCTTTGATCTTTGCCGCGGCATGCTCTCTCCCTTTTGGTTTTGTCGGACCCCTCCACCACTTGACGGGGATTAGCTTAGTGACAGCCACGACGGTGACCGGTGACTAACTACTCACTACACCACGAGAGTAAACATTTTAAAAAAATGAAAGAAATACCAAAGCTCAGGCCGAAACGAGTGCAATATTGCTCTGTTTTTTTAAAATTGGCGTAGAATATTCCAAAACGCTTCAGCCTGAACATATGGCACTTTTCTGGTTGTTAAGAAAATTAATTAAATTTGCCTTTTTTAATAAAATTTTTTTTCTCTTTTTTAAATAAACGTTTTATTAAAACGTCTAGAAGAGAGCCAATAAAATATAGGTCATTCATTAAAAATAAAATTTAGGTAGTCTTTTTAAATAAAAATTTAGTGGCGGTTTTGTCTTTTAAATAATTTTAACCTTTTTCTTTACGTGTAAAAATAAAGAAGAAAATTTTTAGAAGGAGGGAAGGGAAGAAACAAGTCTTTATTTCTTCTTCTTCCCCGGAAAGGCGTGTATAAATAAAACGTTAAAAGAAACACACAAAACAAAAAATAAAGAAAAGAACCCCCCAAAAGGAGAGCGCGGAAAAAATTTTTTGGGCCTTATAAATAAAAGACTGGTTTTTTTATTTTTGCGCATGGGTAAGGAAGGGGAGCTATTTAGGCTATAAGGTTGTGGGGCGGTTGCGCAAGATTATTTTTTATTTTAAAAAGATAGAGAGGGTAAAGTTGGAATTTAGGAGAGACAAATGTATGGTAGAAAAACGACAAAATGTTACCACAGGGAAAATATGACAAATGTTTCTATGGGAAAATACGACAAAATACCATTAGACAAATAGGGCAAACCCCTAGTAAGTGTTCTATAGCGATGACCACATTCTATATACACTAGGATCTCCCAATACTAGATAACATTTATTTAAGGTACGTTTTTTAGTTGGCCCCTTGGATGAGAGGAAGCTGTGACTAAGCGAGATACCCCTCATTATAGGATACAATTTATAATTCCAAAGGGTTTAACTTTAAGTGAGAGGTTAACTGTATATTTTAGATAAATATATGTATATTTTTAGAAGAAAATGGCTAAACAAAAATTGGGCAGTATTTATGTGTAGGGGGAAAAGGAAGCAAAATGATTTTTATACAAATTATTTTAAAGAAGATATGACTTCTCCAATTAAATAAAAAGAGGATTTTTGGGGGAAGAATATAAAAGCTTAAAAGAAAAACAGCTTTTTAATAAAGAAGTTTATTTTTATTTAGTATTCTGGTTTTAGTTTCTGATTTTTGTTCATCCAACTTTTTTCAGAAAAAAGAAGTGCGCAACCAAAGGGAACAAGTTTTTTTGTCCGCAAAATTCGTCCGCAAGGTTTCTGCAGAAAAATGCTTGGGAAAATTTTTATCGAAAAATTAGGCCGAAAGAAACTTTTTATCCGCAAGCCTGTTTGGGCAAAAATTTTTCGTCTCTATAAAAATTGCTCTAGAGGAAGAAGATTCTTATTTTTTACATAAAGCGCTATAATATAGAGCAGGTTTTATAACACACAAGTTATTTTAATGGTGTTTGTTGTTGCGCGATCCAAATAAATATTGCATAAGTGACTTTTGGAGGAAGAAATAAAAGAATAACCACTCAATCAAAAAAATTAATCCAGTTGTGTTTTATATAGAAAGAGGAAGAAGAAAAAGATTTATATATTTTTAATATGTGTGTCCATAAAAAAATTGCAAAAACCAAATAATTGGTTTCATCTTTGAAGGAAAAAATGGCAAAGAGTATATGGATTATTTTATTAAATTAGTAGGGAATTAAAAAGTTGATTAGAAATCTGGATAAATAATTAAAAGTTTTGATTTAAATAAACGGGGGTATTTTGGCATAATGTAAAAATTAAATATATTTTAGCTCCTCCATATTCTGCCAATCCATATTTTGCCATTGAGGCTAAAAGTCCACGTTTTGCCAACAAGTTTATTGGCAAAACGTGGTTTTACCCTCATTGGCAGAACAAGGATTTGGCAAAATGTGATAACTCGATATTTTCTTTTTTGTCTGGTCACAGTCTTTTTCTTATTGGAAAATTTTTCTAATTATTATTTAAAGGTTCCTCTTCATTTTTTAATTTTTAAGGAATTCGTCTATATTTGTTCTTAAATTTCTAAGAAATGAGTGCAAGCAAAAGAAGATTAGTTAAAGAACTTAGCCAATTAGTTACTGAACCACCAGCAGGTTTTTTGTTTTATTTTTGATGTTTTTGGGGAGGGGGGCAGAGGGAGCAAGCCATTTTACTCTGGCAGAAAAGCCGATTTTCCTATCGCAGTTTGTGTTTTTACGAGAAAAAAAGGGACTGAGGTAGGTCGTGGTTGTCAGTTCGGGTGTATACTCAACAATATCTCCGTAGAGAGATCGATTAAATTGCCTAGATTCGACATGTGAAAAATTTGAGGGCTGACAAGGTAGACTTGGCCTGCAATAGTTTGGGGGTGTACTTCTTTGGGGGTGTACTCCTTCAACCAAAAATTAGAGCATAAAAATTAACCACAAAAAAATTTTTTTTCAGGTGTTCGTTTACTCCAAGAAGAAAATTGTGATTCTCTTAGTTGTTTGTCTCTTGCATTGGAAGGATCGAGGCATTTTTTTTTAATTTTATTAAAAATGTTAGAAAATTTTTCTTAAGAAACACACTTTATGAGGGCGAAGTTTTTCAACTTCAATTTAAATTTGATGATCAATATCCATTTTCTTCTCCTGAGGTTACTTTCATTGGTGAAAATATTCCTGTACATCCACACGTTTATTCAAATGGACATATTTGTTTGAGTATTTTAAGCGATGATTGGACACCGGTTTTTTATTTTAAATTTAAAAATTTACAAAAACTTAAGAATACGGGCCACTCGCAAATTCTGTCAAATTATACACCCCCATTTATTTGCAAGTAGGAACAGGCCTATGTTATTGTGTGTAAACTTGACTTCGATGAGTCAAATGCCGCAAAACCTCGAGCGAAGTGCGGGAGTTTTGCGCGAGCTTTTGAGCTTTCGTCTTCGCCTCTGGCCTAAATAAAAACTACTGAAAATCGAAAACCTTTGAGCAGGCCCGTAGCGAGGGGGGGGGTGAGGGGGGGAATTCCCCCCCCCCCCCCCCCCCCCCCCCGAAATGGGAAAAAGGAAAAAATTTGGGGAAGGGCTGGGGCAAAAAAAGTGAATTTTTTTGGCCTACGGCCTCTGAAATTTAAAAAATTTTCGCCTGCGGCGCTAAAAAAGTAAGAAATCTGGCTTTTTAAGGTCCAAAATCCAAAAAATTTTCGCCTGCGGCGCTGAAAATCAAAATTTTGGCGCCTGCGGCGCCGAAAGAGTGAATTTTTTTGGCCTACGACCTTCTAAAATTCAAAAAATTTTCGCCTGCGGCGCTGAAAATAAAAATTTTTGGCGCCTTCGGCGCCAAAAATTTGGCGCAAAAAATTCCCCCCCCCCCCCCCCCCCCCGAAAAAAAATCCTGGCTACGGGCCTGCCTTTGAGTTAATCTATACCGGCACGCCCCCGTAGCGGCACAAAAAGTCCATATTCGAGAGTGACTCATATTCTTATTGTTAGTTTTACCAAAGGATTATTTTTTAAAGGCTCTAAGTATTTCTTCTGTTTGTCTTTCAATTCAATCAATGCTTTCTTCTTGTAAAGAAAAGGCGCTTCCACCAGGTTTTTCTGTGAAAATTTTGGTACTACTTCGTTAACAGTTTAGACAAATTTTTCCCTCTACTTTCTTTACGTCGTTGTCAATCAATCAATCAAACAAGATTAAATTTAGTGTACAAAATTCGTGTCTTTCTTTTATTTAGAGAAAAAAATTCGTGTCAGCGCAAAACTTTGTCCAGACAAAACTCCGATCGATCAAAATATATGTTGATTTGGAGGAATATTGGGCCTCTAAATTAACCGCCAAATCCAACAATTTTCCCTTTGAACGGAATTTTAACGGTCGGAGTTTTGTCTGGACAAAGTTTTGCTACACGAATTTTCTACTCTAAGTTTAATCTCGTTGGTTGGTTGACAATAGCGTGGGGAGAGAAGTAAAGTGTGAAAAACTTATCCACAAAAAGCATCTAGGGATAACGAAGTAGTTCCAAAAATTTTTTTGAAAATTTTAACGAATTTTTAGATAATACCTTTTATGTGAGGACATGCAATAAAAGTCCAAATAAAACTCGTTGGTGGTTTCATGATGATAAAATTTGAAAGAGTATATGAAAAATGGTTGTTTTATTATTTTTGAGAGGCTAGTGACCAGTGTCTAATTTTAAGAATTAACCTCTGGTTGGGTAAAAACTTTAGGAAAAAATGTTTCGGGTAGGGTTGGTGGATCTGGATCCGAGAACATTACGGGTTGGACATCAATTCGGATATCTTATGATTTTTCTGGATCGACCAACCGTAGTCTAAAAGCTCTTTGGAATAATTGATTATAAACCTGTGGTTTTTTGTTTTTCTCTATGTTCATGGTCACATGCTTATCTATATAAACTCATAAAAGTGTATAAATATATTTTTCTGTCAAAATTTTTTTCTTAAGAAATTTAGAAATTAGCTTTTTTGAAATTTTTTAGTCTAAAAAAATTTTTTTATGGGAATTTTAAATTTATTCCTTCTCCCATAATCCTCTTTAAATCTCCTTTTTTATTATGCTTATTATATGCTTTTTTGTATCAATATTTTAATATTAAGTAGAAAATGAAGGATTTTAGTTTAAATTTTGTTTTTGGTCTAGTTTATGAGTTCAGGGAAGCTTTTATGAGGTTAATGAAGCTTTATGAGGTCAATAAATTTTTATCAGCTTGTTGATAATTTATGGGTCCAATTGACCTAAATGACCTCAAACAAAATTTTTATCAGAAAGGGCCATTGAAACTCACAAAACTTCAACTCATAGTTCCATTGAGCCTCGTAATTCCTCTTTTAATTCATAAACTGGACTGACTATTGTTTTTTAAATTAATTGTTAAATCTTTTTTATATTTTTATCATTTTTGATTTAATCTTTTTTTCTTTTTCCTTTTTAATCAGATTTCAAAAAAATTTTAAAAATGTTTTTTGGCCAATTAACTTCTTTACCAATTCTCTACAAAACTTCAACAAAATGTTTACCATCACTTTTAAGTCCATTAAATTTAAATTTTGAATTTATTCGTGGTCGTAAAAGAGGGCGTAGAAAACCATCAAAAGCTGAGCGGTTGGCACGTTTACAACGTAAAGAGAAGAAAGATGCTGAAAAATTGGAAGAATCGCAAAAGAGACGTTTGGAGGAATTGAAAAAAACGTTTGTTTCTTGGGGATTTAAAATTAGTTTTAGGGAGGGGGTCCGAGTTTTTTCGATGTAGTAGAGTTTTTGATGGGAAAATTTTTCCAGACTTTTAACAAACTTTATTAAAACGAAAATAAGTAAAAATGTTATCAGATTTTTATAGTAAATTTGCTGCAATGTGGCCACCAAGATACGATGCCGAAGTTGAAAAAGACTTGCCTGAAGTTTCTCAATTTAATATTTTTTTCAAAAATGAGGTCAAAACAATATTTCACACAATCTCGGAAGCCTTGGTTTTTTTTGAAAATTTTTATTAAAAATTTTTTAAAGGAATTTCATCGAAATTTGCAATCACCTTCAATTTATGGAAAAGTAGATGCTCCTATAAAACTTAGAATGGAATTGAATATGACTACTGAAAAAGCGGTGTAGAAATTTTTATATATAAAGGAGGGATGATTTTCACCCCAAAATTGTCTTACTTGTTTCAGCACTTATATCTCGGTCCTGAATCATTTCCTAAAGAGGGAGTCCATTGCCTTGCGATTATTGGGAAATTATTAAAATAGGGTACCTGTTGACATAGAAAAGTTCAGGGTCATTGATCTGGGTCCAATCCTACTTTAAACCTTTTTCATCAATAATTTTTAGACTAAATTAATTGGAGCCTCTCGTCAGTTGGTTGCCATTCCTTTTCCTTTTAAACATCAAGAAAAGAGAGCAATAATTGCCTTTGCACCTAATAAAGAATTGCAAGATGAAGCTTTAATGGCTGGTGCTGAGTTGGCACTTGGCCCTGATTCAATTAAAAAGGTTTTTTATTTATAGATTGGATCCGTTTGGACTGCTCTAGGAGAAGGTTCTTTAATTTCCTTTTTGGATTATTTTCTTTATCTTTACAATGTTTATATAAAGAACTCACAAGGAACCATATTGAACTGTCAGGAAAAATTTTCAAATAAAAATTATACAATCGTGTAAAGCATGTAAAAAAACCTAATACGTATTTTTTCTTTTTTGGCCATAACCCCCATTTCGAAAAGTTTCTACACGATGGTATAATTTTTATTTGAAAATTTTTCCTGACAGTTCGATATGGTTCCTTGTCAGTTTTTTTATATTTTCTATATCATTTCAGATTTTAAAAGGCCAATTTTTGATTGAAGATTATGATTTTTGTGTGGCACATGAAGGTATGGCAAAAGAAATTTTACCTTTGAGAGGAGTGTTAAAGTCAAGGTTTCCAAATAGAATTAATGGTTTGTCTGGTTTTTTTTAATTTTTAAATAAATAATTTTTTGTAGGTGGAATTGGTAGTGATTTGCCTGCAATATTGGAAAAATTCCTTTCTGGTTCAAATTTGGTTGTGAAACCGAATGCTGCTTATGCGGAATGGGGATTAGCTGAACCTGTTGTTGGAAGGGTTTACTTTTAATTTTTAAAATATCCAATCAAATTTCTATGGCTGACAGACATTTACGAACAAACGTCGAACCTATTGGCTGAAACATGGGAGCATGTTAACGGCGTTTACTTTGACATTTCGAGCGCAAATTTTTTTGTAACTATTGTTGCTCATAAAAGTTAATTGGACGCATAAACTAGACCAGCGCCGAAACTTTTGTTTAGGATTTGACTTTAGTGTTGGTTTTCGCAAAGTTCAAAATTGTCCTGATAAAAATAATTTTCTAAATATTTTAAAATTTTATTTTAAAAATTCACAGCTTGATATGCCTGATGAAGAAATTGAGGCAAATATTATAACGATAATTTCAACTTTATGTCAACAAAGAAATCCAGCATTGGGGCCATTTATTAATAGAGCCGCTTTGATGACCTTACCTGGAAAAACTTTTTATTCAATTAATATTAATGAATGGTTACCTGTTCCAACAGAAGTCGAAATTAGAAAGGTCTGGTTTAAAAATTTTATTTTTACTCAAGAAGTTGAAGATCCGAATACGGTCATGACAACCCTAATTAAAAAATGAGGGGTTTGCGAAATGATGGGTTGGTGTAATAGCAAGGCAACTTCTGCCGGAAGTAGGCGGCAAATTTGATTTCGTGCCTTTCTAGGAGCTGTTTTTTGTTATCTCAAATTTTTTAAAGGTTGAAAAGAAACCAAAGAAGAAACCAAAAAAGGAAGATGATGATGAAAAAGAACTTGAAGAATTAGCTAGTTGGAGACTTGATCCTCTTCATAATATAATGTGAAATTTTTAGGTTTTTTTTGTTATTTTTTGGAAAATTGGGGGAGTTAAAAAATTTTTTTTAAATTTATTTTAATTCCTCAAATAAATAATATGAATCATTTTTGTTTGTTTTTATTTTAATAGTAGAATGAGTAAATATTTATATACTCCTATATTTTCATGTAATTTATCATTTTTAAATACTTTTTTTTTTATCTAAAAATGGTGAAAAAAAGATCGATTTTTTAGTAAAAAATATTTTCTAGTTTTTTTAAAATTTGACAATAAAATTTATATATTAAACAAATGGGCCAAACAACATCATCAAACTTTGAATGGTCTTATACTCAGGAACCTCACGCTACGCGGTCAGCCTAGTTTTGATATGTGAGTGACTCAGAATTTGCAATTTAAAAATAGTGTTAGGTGTAATTTAGATATCGGGCACGCAGTGTGATCTTGAGTAATTTTATCGATAGCTTGGTGAGGTTGGGGGCCCTCAAGGGGTAACACCTTGGATATCTACTTTAACATGCCGATACTCTGGGTGGGATTTGAGTCTATCCTTTACTAACAATAAGCATTTTCTGAATTTTTCTTACTTTATTGCAAGTTTAAGATGGTTGGTTAATGCGGAAATCCGCATATTTTTGGCTGTAGTTTATTGTACCGGTTGTAAAAGTCAATTTTGGGGTGAAAAATTCGAATATGATATGATTTATCCAACTTTCTTATTTAAAAATTTATTGCAAATTTTGGTCTTTCACTTTTTTATTCGTCTAATATTTTATTTTTTTAGTCGGAAACAAATACTTGAAAAATATCCCCAAGTGAAACAATGCTTTGGAGTAGATGAAAGTTTTAAATATGTTGTTGTTTCAATGGTTATATTTCAAATATTTATGGCTTATTTATTAAAAGGTTTTCTTTAAAATTTTAAATTATAAAAAAATAGCATTTGAGGATGGTTGGGGATTTTTTTGAAGATATGTGGGACCTCCTATGGTTTTAGATTTTCAAAGTTCTGAAAATCGGGGAAAACGTCATAATTCTACCTTTTGAGCAATTAAATTGTTTTCCTTGGATTACGCATTTTTTAAACAAGAAAATTACTAAATAATTTCAATGTGTTCATAAGCGATAGTCTAGCCTGATTAAATTTTAGAATCATCTTGGCTCTTAATTTGTTTACAAGCTTATATTGTTGGAGGAACAATCTCTCATTCTTTGACGTTAGCAGTTCATGAATTGTCACATAATTTGGGTTTTGGACATGAAAAAATTTTACAGGTTTTTATTTAATTTTTTATTAAAAATAATTTTTCAGAACCGTATTCTTGGTTTTATTGCTAATTTACCTATGTGTATTCCAATGTCTACTTCATTCAAAAAATATCATTTGGTTTGTTTTTAAAAACTTTCTAATAGTTTTTGAATGAAAAATGTGTTATTCCCCTTCACGTCTGACATGAGAACTTATCAAAAAAAATTTTTTTCTAGGAACATCATAGAAACTTGGGAAGTGATGTGGTTGACACGGTTCTTTAATTTTATATAAATTTAATTTAAACTCTAAAAAATTTTTTTAGGATATTCCAACAGAATTTGAGGCAAAATTTTTTGTTGGTCCAATTGGAAAATTTGTTTGGTTAATTTTACAACCTGTATTTTATGGTTTAAGACCTCTCAGCACTTATAAAAAGGTTTTGAAAAAATTTTTCAAAATTTATTTTTTTATTTTTAGTCAGTTCTCGATTTTGAATTACTCAATGGATTTATTCAAATAATATTTAATTTGGCAATAATTCAATTTATGGGCTACAAATCTTTTATTTACCTCATTGGAGGGTTTTTAATTGGATTAGGTTTTTAAATTAATTAAATTTTAAAAAATTATTTTTAAGGTATTCACCCTCTAGCA